ATGCTCCAGCCAATTTTTACGCCGGTCCAAGTGCTGTGACGGATGAATCAACGATGACATGGCGCCAAAACTTCTCAGCTTGGTGGAAGTACTGGGGAGAGGGCCGGGCTGAACACCGAGACTTCACGCTTCTGAATCGAATTCACCCTAATCGTATCAGTTCACTGAGTGATTGGATGAGAATGGTTCACTACGACGGGCAACGAAAGAGTGTGCTGAAGGGAGTTGAGGACCTGAAAAGAGCGGCCGCAATGAGGCAGCAACAGCAAGCAGGTTCTCCGGTTTGACCTAGGGGGCTAGTAGAATCCTACCTAAGCGTTCATTCTCACTCATCCGTGTGGGATTCGCTCGAGGTTTCCGCAATGCAAATTATTGCTTCAATGTGAGCGGGTGCGGAGGTGTATAACGACTCGGGTATCTCAATATGAAACATAGACATTGCTCTTTCTTGGCTTACTTAGTGTGTAGTCTTTAGGTTGTCACACCAGGTGACCGGCGTACACAATTAGATATCATGGAAGAAACGGCCGATGTTGTTTCCGCTTGGGTTTGTGTGGGGCAGGTAATTTTAATAGGGGTTGGTTGTACTGTCGGATATACAAGGTGGTACAATGATTTTGAGCACTGTTGAATTGCATTAAACTAATTACACGAGGCTACTCCAATGTATTGAACCATAGTGTTCTTTTAATCCGGGTAATAAGTAGGCTAGTATGGCATCAGAGCATATAATAATGTGGAAGTCACAGCTAGAATTTATATCCCAAGCGAAACAACAATGTGAACATCCCTTTCACGACAGTCTCCTATGTGGAGGTTCCCAGGGCATCCCAATAATCCCTACTCACATAGACACAAGAATAGCTTGTATCAACCCGCTTAAAAAGAAGAACGAATTGAAGTCAAATCGGAGCTCGGAAAACACAACGCCACCTGGCCCAGAGATACCGGCCCAATCGCCCACATGACAATAGCTGATTGCATCTATAATTACACCAATGTGTACATAGCATTGAGTAGGTTGAGACATCACTATATCGGCCCAATAAGTCCATTTTGGTAGCCAATTTAGACTTGTAAGTTGTCATCCGTAGTAAGTGAAAAGAGGAATGCTTTCAAAGCAAACAATCACTAACACACTATGTGTCCAAGAATAGGTCGGAGACTTGGACGAGCTATGTTAGTAGATTCATTCTATAGTTTCCAACTAATTGTTGCCAAATTCTTTTTTTCGAATTCATTCTAGGGGCACCGATATGTCCACAGTGTATTTCACGGTTACTGTGTCGGGCGTCAGAAGGAGTACCAGTAGTATTAAGCTTATATAAGTATATAAACGGCCTGTGCCTGAACTCCGGAAGACCATCTGATAATGTACCACGTCAGGTGTTGGTGAGTAACTGGAGAGACAATCCGTCTTTCTCTTCTTTGGATCTCAGAGACGGGCTTTGCCAATCGGGAAATGGGCGAGGTGGCGGTCAACGTGGATGTGGACGTGTCCTAGCTCTTTGGTTGCGGATACTATGGACACGATGCAGTCATTGAGACGGTATTTTGTAACTCTAATGGTGATACCAAGTCACCGAGTGTGATACGCTGCTTGGCAGGATATGCTGTAGTCGTGTAGTCATGGTTTGCGTTGGTAGCTTCATCTTGTTAAAAGAAAGTAGCCTAGATATGTGTTTTCTGGATTGCGTTAGATGCCATATCCTGATCATAGAGCGATACGCTGTTTGGCTAGTATCTTAAATGAACCAATGTGCGTCGTATTCCCCCGATGGGATGAACTTCATTGTCTTTCAACTACATCATGGATGAACCGAGATTATCCTTCTCCTATTTTTTCTCTGATGAATGCTAGCACGTTCCTCTCCAGAGTATGTAAATGTTTGTCAATTTTTTCCACATGCCTTCTCTATGTCTCCTCTAATGTCGACATCATAAGGATCGTATCTTTTCATTGTCATCAGGCTAAGCGGTGTCGTTCCATCCCCAGCATCCATGTAGCTTTCATGGTATTCATTTATCATTGAGAAAGCCCTTTATCCAAACCAGCGTCGTTTGCTTGTTTTCTATGGCCCCGGCGCTTTTGAATGTCGAATAGTTTTCTGCATTTGCGCTTCTGAACTCGAGAAGTCGGCCCAACTTGCTAGGGATGTGAGATAAAGAATTGACGGGCTGGGATGTTTTCTTCCGCTAATGTGTCCTGTTCCTCTCTGGGTGGCATTCTGCTAAACTTGCCGTTTGCAAGTTGAATAAAAGCTCGAGCGACCCCGAGGACATAACAGACAGCCGATGGTCTGGAAGGCAGCATCGGGAATGCTCTTGACCATCTCAGCACCTTCTGACATACGTTGAAGTGGCTTCGATATTATTGTTGTATCTCCGTCTACCATGGCCTTGGATTCGGTACCGGGAGATGGTCCGGTGTACTTAACGGATACTATTCTGCCCCCCCGATGTATTATTGTATCTCTTAGGTTGAGCCAGTCTGGCGAACGCCTTCACGCTGTATGAATAGATGGACATCGTTGACAATCTTTGAAAGCGCTTGATCAATGCCGGCTTTAGTGGCCATCCAATAACTCTCGAATTGTCAGGTGTTCTGTTCCATGTCTTATAAGTTGTGCGCAATTCTCCCATGCTTTGTGGTTCAATGGTGAGATTCCAAGAATTCCATGCATGCAGGATGGCTCGTACCGCTATAGCACACCCCCCGGCAAGTGTGTCCCGTTTTGCCGGTTCACTACCAGATACACTGGCACATATTCCTCTGCGGTGAGTCTGCCCTTTTGGATAACACTGTAACTGGGTCACGATGGAAGCACTCGCAGCTAAGCTCAACCGTTTGTACATTACCTCTTCCTCGTCATCGCCGATACAATCGGGAGAAGCAGGACCGAGTACAGGACCATTTCTCGCTATAGAATGGTGGCACGGGACATGAAGACGACATTCTGCTGGGGCTGCTTCTGGGCTCTAGTTCAGATGGATCTTGTTGAGCTTGTATATCAGTAGGGTCTAAATCCTCTCGTCGCGCCCTGAGCTCCTTGAACATCACGAGTGCCGGGATTGTTACCGTTGTCATTTTCCAGCCCTAGACTGTGATCAGGGTTATCGCGCCTCCAAGCCGCAGGACGAGCTCCTTGGCCCGCCTGGTTTCTGGTAATGTGAAGATTCTTTGACTTGCTGATGGGACCAAATATATCAGCTGTAAGCTACGAATAGCAAACCGTTTTCTTTTAGATAATCTAGAGATCCTAATAGCAGGGCAACAGTTCATGTGTCAGATGATAGAATAGTAACCTGTGTATGAGTCCTTGACTTCTGGTTATTGCTGTAGACTCAAGCCGTCTTTGACTGAGAGATACTGATTACCAAGTCATAGAACCATACATCGCGATAAATAAAACTAGGAGCTAGGTAGTCGTAAATATACCCTAGATGACATCGAAAATTCTTCTGCTTTCAACGGATGATGCATTGTCGTTATATTCCCTCGTATCCCAGGCAGTGCGGAGCGGCATGCGAGCGCTGGACATGGAACGTCCTGGAGAGTAAGCAAGCCATGGGAAAAGCAGCTTTGATGAAGTAGAAATTTCCGAGACCGATTACCTCTTCCCCCTGAGTAGTGCGTAATACTGTCTTTTTCGGTAATCGCAGTGTATATCAAGGATATTTCTACATCTAGATTTGCAGAGTGGCATTGGACGACTAGTTTAAAATGGCGCGTTCGATCGATGGCAACTTTCTCGACACATTCTCGTCGATAGAGGTGCTCTTTTCATCCCTTGTGGTGAGAACATGCAGCTGTTGTATGCCATAGCTATCAGTTCTGGATATCCATCGATTTGGTGATTTCTGGATCTAGCTCCGACCAGTATAGCTAAGGGAGATATAACTCTGAAACCAGTGTCCTCGTGATTGACTGGATCCTACTTGAGAGGCCTGAGGATTGTCGGTATGTATGCGTTGTCCGCACAGAGTAGCCATTAAGGCAATTATCTTTGCAAAGTCCCATGATGTCTCCATGTACTTAACTGCAGTATCTAGCCCAGGTCATGGTAGCCAAGCAGTTTGCCTTGAGTGATCATTCTGTGTTGCTTTGTTATTAGGAGCCCAGGTTGGCAGAACAGGGTCTTTTGGGCACAGCACGCCATTATCTCTTATGAAGACACCAGAGACTATATCGCCGCCTTGTATTCCATAAATCTGCTTGTCAGGGAAGCAATATACCATGAACATCCCGGCGTATCTGGCACACTTGTAAGGATGGTTGTGTTTAGCAGAAGCCTGGAACTTATTATTTACCATCTGAACCGGAAGAACGAAAGCGTCCATGCTCAGCACCCGGCGCCGAATAAGTAGGGTCGGAATTTACATCGAGAGCTGTCCTTTCGATAATGAGTGTGGACTTGGAACTTAGAAAATCGACCCATGTGACTGAATATATGATAGAATTCAACCCAACCCAAACCACCCCAAACGCTAGGTGCGCTTTTCCGCAGCAGAAGCTTTCTTGTGACCGCGCACCTCTTCCTCCTGCACGGCCTCGTCAGCTTCCCATGGCTGTCCGCTGCTCCTCAGAGCCTTCAGCCGAGGCCACGGGCCAGTCAGAACAGGATCTGGCAGCGGTGATAGCAGACTCCCGCCTACCGCTAGAATTTTGATGTGCCTTGACTTGCGCGATACTTGTCGTCACCGACTAAACCATACTGCTATAAAGCATTGAATAACCTCAAACATCACCTACCACGGTATTTCGTATCCTGATTGGGTAGGCACGTTGCAAATTCGCGCTCTCCGACAAGCCCGTTGTCCTCAACGGCGTTGTTTAATGTAAGCGTCGAATGTAGATAGTCAAAGGCAAGTAAGTGTCAGCGAAGAGTAAAACGCGCGAGTAGTTGACGACGAGGAGTAAAGTAGACAAGGAAGTATTGACTAAGAGTACAGCGTATGAGCAAGCGTCGACGAAGAGTAAAGCATGCGAGCGTAAAATGTTAGTCTTGTTTAGCGGCGCGCAAGGCATCCTGCACAACCTTCTTGCCGGCCTTATTGTTAGGGTGCAGGGCCATGGCCTTGTTAACGGTTGCATCCGCGATCAAGAACGGGTTCAGATTGCTCAGTTCGTCTGTGAAGGCTGCCAACTGTGTGGCAAGCTTGTCGATCTTCCGCTGCATGTCTGCTGCACCTTGGATAGCCTTTAGTACGGGACGGGTCCACGGAGCAAGTATAGCAGATGTCATGTAGATCAAACCAGCGGACGATGCCACGTCTGGCGTTTCTTTGGGTATAAGCCCTTTAGATGACCAGGTGTCACACTCACCGCGCACCGTTGCAAGGTATCTTCGTCCGAGGCAGTCTTAACAGTACTCCTCAGCATTAACAATGTTTAAAGCGAAGATACTCGGGGTCTACTTCGACCTTCCAAGACACGGTGACCTGAAGATTTGTTCAGGACGGATTGACACTCTCCAGGACATGATTTTTGAGCTTGGATACGGAGCTCCTAAACATATGCTTTAGCATGTTATCTGAGATTCTTATCTTTTCCATGGTGGAGACATGCGGGACGCATTCGGCCACAGCCATCGCCTGATTATTGTCATCGTTGGGTTGTACGTTCGGTTGGAGTGAGTAAGCCCGAAATTTAGAGTAGGACCATAAACATCAGTGCGCCTATAACTGTTGAATTGTTAGAGTTGCAAGATTCATGGATATGCCGCTTAATCACTGAAAAGTGGCTTTCTCACACCATCTGCAACTATATGAGTTTAACAATTGTGGCACGATGTAATTCCTAGTAGTTGTTGTAGCCATATGATCTGGATTTTGTTTAATTCATACCTCCACCTAAGCCGCCACTTCCAGATGTCTGCGGTTATCCGTTTGCAGGAGGTTAGGCACTCGTGTGCACACTGGATTTCAAATGATATCGTATTAGGTTATCTATAACCGTCAGGTACTGATCTTCTCCTCTGGGAACCGACACCCATTCCTGTGCATCGCTAGGTGGGATTGGGAGTAATAGGTACAACCTACTTCCCCGTGGAATCATGAATGATCAAGTGGAGCTTCAGACGGGCTATCCACTGTCATTTTCTGATGTATAAAGGGCATGGAATACGGAGAGTATCCAGAAGATAGGGTTCTTTCAATGATGTAGAGGAGATTGAAATTTCTTCGGGGCTCTAATTCACATGGGCTGGAGTGGCTAGTTGGGTTATTGTTCGTATCTAAAATATAAACTAGGCTTTGAAAATATGATAGTATTTGCTAGGACAACCGCGAACTCGACGGTCAACAATTTGTGAGATTGCTTGATTTTATATCTGTTACGAATAAAGGCCGGTTCAAGTTGTTGGTTGGCAGGAAGGTTGTCAGAATGAAGAGAAAGAAGAAGAGAAGAGAAGGGGAAAAAAAGGTTTATATATACTATAGGGTAGGTGAATAGATGATTCTTCTGGGAATGATAGCAGCAGAATGCACTGTGAGTCATACATCTGCTTCATCTGTACCAAAACTTATTGAATCGGCTCAGCATCCATTGAGTCAAGCAATCAAATAGAATAACTCAAAGAAAGGTAATAAAATTGATCTAGTCAATCATGGACCGTATTCACATCAGGCCATCCGAAGCACATAAAGTAAATAGTAGAAGATCAATCATCAGATCTAGCCACGGCCAAACAAGGTAGCAGACAAGAATGCAAGGCTAAGCGACAGAAACGGTTGCATTATTCGTTCAGCACAGCAGGACGAACACGAACCAGTATTAATACATTATAGTAGAAAAGAATAGGGTGTGTCTATCCCGATATCAACACCCAAAGTAGGAAGAAGATCTGCATAAGTTAGCTGCCATTCGACCAGCAGGTTGCAGGATGAGCTTACCATTAGGACGCCAAACATCTTGGCGATGAGCCACCGGTTCCCGGATACCCGCGTCCAGTACTTCAGTAACTCGCGATGCGCTCCCTGCACGTTATCGACCACGTCTTCCGTGTTGGCGTCTATCCGCTGGATCATGTCGGACTGCTCGCTGACCATCTGCGCAAGCTGACCGAAGATACCACCCAACTCGCTGATGGTGCGTTCAATCGCATCAATTGCCTCGCCACGCCCTTGGATATAGGCGTTGCTCGTCTGGGCTTCCTCCATGACCAATAGTTGCTGATCTGAGTGCATAGAGGGGCGGCCGAGTGGAGATGGGTTCGAAGGTTCCAGAGTCAGTAGATCGGAAGCACCGCCCGGCTGAGGCGTCCGCCGCCCGGATGTGTTGTAGAGCGGGGAATCGGAGCGCTGCGTATCGAGGGCGGAATGTGTCTTTGAGGATACCGAGGAGACAAAGTTTTCGGTTCTGGATCGCGAGGCCTGGATGTTCTTTGTTCGCACTTCAAGCACATCTTTGAAGTTTGCTCCCACATCCGCCAATTTTCCTTGCAGCATGACAACCACCTAATCTCGTTAGCTTCGTATCGGTCTTGATGTGTGTCGTACGTACATTGTCATTGTGCTCTCCTTCCTGGTCCGCCTTCGACCGATTGCTCTTGGGATGTTGTGAAAGAGTAAGCGCCTGCAACGAGGCGATTTGCTGATTCAACGAGGCGAGATCTTGCTTGATCACGAACGTCAACTCCGAGATCTCAACCGGTCTGTCGTCAAAGAGCGTTTTTCGCTTGGCCACTGCGGACAATGTTAACTTCATTCATCTAACCGTCTGAAGGTCACTCACACTCGGCCAGTCTCTGCAGCTTAGCTGTTGTTGCCGTAATCCCTCGTCCAATTTCCACAGCTCTCCGGGCAAACTCAGACCTTCGTTTGCCACCCTGCCCATCTGCGGAACCATTTGCTTGTTTCCGCTGCGCATCTGTCAAAAGAGCCTGGCGCTGTGCGCTAGCTTTATTGGCGGCCATGCGCTTCTGGGCTTGACCCAGAATGGCGTGGAACTCGCCGGTACGATCTTGAATGGACGGGCCGGTCATTGTGTAGGTGGATGTAGGATAAACGGGGATTAGATGAAAGAAAGATAATTCGGTAGTCGGTCGCAATGCAAGCGAAGATGTACAGGGGTATAGCCGAATGCAGAACGAATGCGCGACGTGAGATTCCACGGAGTCGATCTAATCGATAAGGAGACAACTGGAGACGTGTCCGTTGAGTGGTGGCGGTATAGCTAAGGTAGAACGAGAGCGGAGAAGCATAGATTGAAGGTAAAGTTGGAGTATTACAAAAAGGCCATATCAATCAACCGAGACCAGCATCGACCACCGTAGAGGCACGGGGAGAGAAGATGGAGAGAGAGTGGAGGAGGAGCGAGAAGCCGACGTCGCCAGCCCGTCTTCCGTCCGTAATAGGAAAGGCGGAGGCTCAGCCACGTGCACCCCAGCCACTCCAGTTTTCTCACTAGCCACAGGGGCAGCACCAGCCACCGGGTGCCCCAGGCGTCAGGCTGCCAACGGACCAAAGCGGCTTAACTGAAAGCAGTAGAGCTTCTCATTATTAGATCCGATGGAGTCTCAGGGGAACATCGCAATCAGCCTATCTTATCCCGCTGGCGATTAACTTCAATCAATTCCCTTCCGTACCCTCATCCCCAGACTCGTGTGCCTCCGTACCCATTCTGATCGCGATCGGACATCGCTCATCCCTTCCTTAGCTACTAAGAATATCCCCATTCCACGTAACGCCGCTGCTGCGCTGCCCCGTGGCTTGGGCTGTCATCGCCATCCTTGCTCCCACGTCATCTGGTGCAACCATCTTCTCTCGTTCTCCCGTGTCTTCCGGTCAACCTCGCAGCACCTTCGCATCAACGGTCGCTTCTCCCATACGCCTCTCAACCCAGGTCTTTGGCATGTGATATGCCGATCGGGCACTTACACCGACTATTCTATTAATGTTCATGATCGGGTTGACACGCTCAGACTAGTCAGCAATGGCACGCCAGTTCCAGCCTTACGAGCCGGAGCTTCACAAACTGTAGGCCATGCGTATATCTTGCTTGCAGGTCCCCGCACATAACTAACGCTGCCCTGGATCTAGCTCCTCAACCACCTCCGATAGCCCGAGCTCTCCTTATCCACGCGGCGGCACCCCGCTATCCTTTAAGCCGAATGTGAACCGGGCGAAAACGAAACGTTGGGTTGAGGCCAAAAAGTACTCATACGATGGGAATGATTGGGGGGACGATGAGTACGGCGAGTATGACGATGAGGATGAGACTCCGCCTGTCCCGCAGCCTCCCAGCATGAACCAAAGCACCGGAGATATCCCTAGCATGTTCACGAGAGACGTGTCTCGTCCACCCCTACCTTCAGTAGATCGGTCGAGATCCATGGACCAGGTGGCAACACTGGACGCAGCTGGTGCTGGAGCGCATCGTAGCCTCTCTGCAGACCGCATGGCGGCCGCTCCTAACAACAACCGGACTGTCCCAATAGTGCGGCCAGCCGAGATCTACAAGCGGATGAGGGCAGAAAGTGCTGCAAGACAACAGGCATCTGAGGCCGGATATTTTGTTGACAACCCGTCGGGTGCGGCGCCACCTGGAGCGCCAGTGTCTCAGGATACTGCGTCGACCTCTCACGAACAACAGCGAGCGGCATCTCCCGGCGATCACATACTCCACCCGGCCCAGGACAGTACTGAGAGGCCGTCAGATGCTGGAAGCACGCCCCACGGCTCCCACCCTGCTGACGCATCTACAAATCAGCCTCCCATCATCCAGCTGCCAGATATGAAACGTCTTTCTGGATTTAACCCTGATCTCTCACTCGGACCCCGTTCCAACGCCCAGGTAGATCCGGAGTCGGAAGGTCAGGAACATAAACTACAGCACAATCCTTCTTTGGGATTCCGGTCGGTTGTTCACCAGGCTTTCGATGTGCCCGAGACCCCGAGCACCACGGTGGACAGCATTGCTCGCTCTAACAGCGATAGCACCTCGGTGATTAGCCCAATTATACCCCAGCACAACCCGAGTGAGACCAAGACTCCTACGATTGTAGAAGAACCCGAAACCATCTCGACACCCAAAGAAGAACCGGGAAACATGGTGTTCAAGCCTGGCCACCGTCGAGATTTGAGCCTTCCTAGCCCGAACAATAGCCCGTCTAGAACACCGGTTATTGCTAGCGTCGAAGGAACTGCGCCGTCTGCGGTAGGGGAAATGTCCTCAAACACGCCAGACTCACCCCAAAACATCATCGCAAGCCCGCAAAAAGCAACGGTGCAACTACCACAGCCTGACGAGGGTCTGCCCGCACCGCTTAGCGTTGGTGGCAGCCATCCTCCCCCTGAGCCTACGATTACCACGGGGGATGGTGTCCCAGTCATCATTCCATCCTTCAGTACAGACAACTCGCCCCAGGACACAGAGAGCGACCGGCTGCGGAAGGAAATCATTCGTTCTTTGAGCCGGGAAAATACCCCGTCGGAAGATCCAGACCATGAAGAGGAGCGCCAGCTGGAAGCACCGCAGCAGGACAGCAGTCACATGCTGGATGAATACGAGCGTTATTGGACGAAGGAGGCCTTACCCACTTCTCGCGAGGGTGAGCAACTTCCTGACTACGACAGTCCCTCAGTTGCCCTGCAGGATACGCCCGCACAGCCAACTCCTCTCATTGCTGCCCCAACAACTTCCGCTCCATCCTCAAAGCCGAAGCTGACCAGACGATTTTCGTGGGAATCCTCGTCATCTGGGGAGCCTGCCCCCGAGACCGGTGTACAATCCCCGCCCGTGCCCATGCCTGGGCAATTCCCACCCACCGAGGATGGCGCCCAGCTGACAGAGATAGCCCCCAATCCTGAGCCCGTCGTTGAGGAACGTGAAGCCAAGGAGCCGCCGTCTACGGAGAAGCCGAAGCTAACTATCGTGCCTCCCGTACCGGACGATCGAAGCATCATCTCCGATGGGCAATACCTGCCTGAAGTCTACAATGCAGAAGTCATTCCCAACTCTCATGCAGACGAGGGTCCCCAGACAGGCTCTGACCGGCGGTCGTCGCGAGTCATGTTCACGACCCCAGCGACTGTCGAGCCGACACTGCTTGGTTTCCGGGAAATCTTGGCGATGAAGACGTCGGAGGAACGCGTTCGGGCTTTCAACGACACCCGAGCGAAGTTTGGGACCATTGATACGGGTCTTAACCAATGGATTTCTGTCACAGTGCAGACACACCCCGAACACAATGATGTGGTTGAGAAGAGCACGAAACTGACGACCACCGGTGCCAAGGCGCCCGTCTCTCGAGGCAAGTTCCCGAAATTGGCTGCCCTTGGTAAAGCTGATCTATCTCCATCCGGCTCGGGGCACGCGCGACGACCCTCGGCGCCATTGGGGGCAATGATGAACAAACAGCAAGTAGAGCAACGCGGCAAAGAGTTGCTGCATACGGCAGGGGTTTTGGGAGGGCGCGCAGGCGAGGCCGCAAAAGGATTCTTTGCTCGCAGCCGGAGTAAGTTGAAGGGCGGAGGGAACGACAAGGTAGATTCTTAATCTCTTTACTGATAATGATGGGCGGTCTGGCCAGGGAGCGGCACGCTCGGCCTGTTCTTTTTTTGTTTCTTGCCTGTGTCATTATGTTGCTTGATACCACGCTGTAATTGGTCAGATCTCAGTGCCTCAGAATGTGACATGAATGATGTCTTCACTCCTCCTTTTCGGGTTTATTTTGCTGCGTCTTATCGCCTCTAATGCGGGGATATGTAGGGATTTCAGTCCTCGCGCGGCTATCGTCGACCGGTGCCCCTGTCGGAGCTCCAGCAAGCAGCCGACCTGGATCCTGCAGGAACAAGGCCCAGCCACCAGCGCCATAGCGTCCACTTTGGAAGTCTCCCGGTCGCCGGCGCTTTTCGACCGGCCGGACATCATCGGCTGAGCTGGGGGGTGAAGCGGAAGGAAGTACCCGGTTCTGATAGCAACGCAGTAGCCATTGGCGAGGATCGCCGTAGGGCATCCATTCACTTGGGAGCTGTAGCCCGGGAATCTTTCCCGTCTCGCAAACCGGCACCCGCCAGTGATCCTCGAAAGAGCGTGGCTAAAGATGCGCACGAACAGCAACAGGAGAGACTCGATGACAGCGGGACTAGCCGGATCCAACTAGCCCTCAATGACGCGCCACTGGCGACCCCTGGTCAGCCCGGTCAGGCCGGACAAAGCGTCTCGGGCCAATTGGATGGCGTGAGCGATAGCGACCAAGCCAGTGTTGGAGGCGATGCTGCGTTGCCCCCTGCAGCCTTTGTTCAACCTCGGCGGGGGTCAGTCCAACCATCAATCTCGTCATTGGGCACTCAGGATGCGGTTGCTGATCCTCCCTTCGCCCTGGCGCTTAACGGTGAGTGCCTCGCTCGCTCGGGAAGTGAATCGGCTGAACTTACGGCTGTCGCCCTCGCAGCGCCTCTTGCCTCGTCCAGTCTCTCTCTGCCCTCCATCGTCGGCCACCACCCCGACACGGAGATGGATGCGACCGGCAATGATCGGTCTTTGCTGCGTCCGCTCAACGGTCGTCATCCACCTTCGGGTCACTTGCGAGTAAGCAGCATGTCGTCGCTGAGACCGAGCCGACCGTCGAGTCGGAATGCGACCTCAGGAGCGAATTCCCGATCGCAGGATTCCACCCCGCACGCGCGCCTGGCCGCACTGAAGATGAAATACGGCGACAAAATCCGGGACATTCGTCGCATCTCCTTGGGTCCCAGCAGCCCATCGTCGGACCAGAAGCCGCCGCTTCTGGATCGATTGACAGTATGTCGCTGTCTTTATTGAGTGGATGAAAGTTTTGACGGTTAACTGAACGTGATCCAGGGCCTCTTCCGCACCAACCTTCGTCCCCACCGACCCAAATCAAGGCAATCCAACCAAGCTTCCAGACCTGAAACCCCCATCCAGCGCTCCACGACGGCCTCCCCATCGCGTCCAATAAACCACACATCCAGCCATACCCGCTTCTATTCCCTCGATCACGCCCTCCCCAATGCCGGCGACAGTCTTTCCCATCTGCCGCCGAGTCTTCCCCGCATCCCCACCCCAGATTCCTTTCGCCAGGCCCAGAACCAAGCCATCTTCGTCCCGCATGCTTCCACCCCTACTCTTCCTAACACTTCATCCATTTCAGACGACTACTTGTATAGCAACAAAACTGTATATGAACCAAGCCACACTCCCACCAATGGTTCTCCCGAGCGCGGTCGAACCACCTCCCGCACGTACGTGCAGGAACTGCACCTCCGATCTCGCAGTCCCAAAGAAAGCGCGCCTCGACCGGAGGAGACGACTCTACCAAATACCGACGCGACTGACCCGGCGATTGAGCTGGGGCGGTTCGCACGCAAGCCGCGGACCAGCCGAGTGGGCGATCAAGAGTTGCCATGGAAGTTGAGTCTGTCCGGACTGGGTAATGATTCTGAGGAGCATGATGAGAATGAGGTGACGGTCGAAGAGAGAGACAGAGCACGGAGGGAGGCCAGCAATGTACTCGAATCTGCCATCGCTGCCACTACCATCGATCAACCTCACATGCGGAAACCAGAGCCAACACGAGAGACGTCATTCGGAGTTTCACACTCTCCCCTATCCACAATTCCAGAATCAGTCGCATCTCCTTCAATCGTGTCCCCATCCGAGCTTCCACCTCTCGACAACTCGTCTACGACAGCGCAAGTCTCATTCTCCGACGTTCAATCACGCGTCTCTCCATCCCCGTCCCCTACACCAAACCCGGAGACAGAGGTCAAGACCGCAAGCTTATGCCGAGAACCCCAACGCATCAATACTCCAACGGCAGACTCGAATCCCTCCCTCACCACAATAGAAACAGAATCCGGAGCCCGCACAGTATCCAATGGCCCCACACCCAGTACACAGACAAACTCAAATCTAAACAGCCATCCCCACCGCCCCGCCCCACCCCGGGCCCTTGTCTCCACTCCCGTTGAGCTCCCCGTCCCCTCAGCGGACGGGGGAGATGATCACGATAATGCCAGTGATGCTTCCAGCGAACCCGAAATTGTCATGTCAAGTACGGCATATCCGGGACAGGAGTGGAGGCCGGTCGGATATATGGGATATGAATCGGGGGTATAGTTTGGGATGTAGTAATTGATCTTATGTATTTGTTGCTGTGCTTTTTGTCTCATCGTTCTCCTTTTCGTTTGATCTGTACAGTGCAAGTGCAGCTAGGAGGGGAGTACACTAATAGTGGTGACCTTTTGTGATATTGATGGAGATACCCACGTTTTCCCATGCCTATTCTTGATCAGATAGTCAGCATACCTAGTAATTTATAGTATTTCGCTCGTGGCCCGCTGGATCATTTAGTCAAGGATGAACAACATCACAAGCACGGACAGCCATAGCATCAGCTTGCTACGCATATCATAAACTCCCGGTGATCAAGGGGCAAGCCATCTTTTCCTATAGTTCGTGTATCTTATACTTACAGATAATATGCATATCTGGCACCAAACCGGACATGTACTGACTATCGATCAACAAACAAAACGCCGATATCAGACTCAAGGCCACTTTGATACATTGGTACATTCACACTGCATAATGACCTGCTTGAGGAATTAAGCGAGGTAGAACTTGAACCTGATTTCGACCCATGCCAGAGACTTGTATTCATGGGCACATATACGCTGACGATGGGTAGATGCATCAATCACGGAATGTGATGAAGGCACCGGGATGCCCTCAACCATACCCACCTAATAGTGACAACCAAGATAACCGACTTCTACTCTTCAGCCGCAACCTGGCTCCGTTTCTCAGTACCCCATTCGAGTTTTCCAAATTTCGTAGTGTCTTTATCCACTGATCTTTATTAGTGGCTGGTCTTGCCACCTTTCTAATAATCACTTCATACTGTATAAAGACGGTCTCAAGATCACCAAGTAATAATTCTGCTGCTATACCACCAGGAAGCACATTAGCTAACTCCTAACGTGAGGAATTCTATACCAAGAATGTTGAAGTCCCAAAATACCAGTTATTTTACAAAGACCACTTTTTTATAAATCCAGGAACATATGAACTTCAATATATAGACACTGCTCTAGATTTTGAAATAGAAGGTCTTCAAACTAGAGTAAATGCGTCTTCCACCAAAGGCGGATCCCACTTCTGCGAGAAAGCCTCTCCGTCCATGATACCATGCACATAACTCTCACCAATTAATACATAATGTTCGCCCTTTTTGCGCAGGATTACCGGAACGGAGCAGCCACGGAGAACACAAATGTGATCTCCTTCTTGAGCCTTCGCTGGTACAAGACCTATGTACCCTTTTGAAGAGATCATCATTCGACGATATGAGGTTGCCCGGGTAATAGCGCTGTCAAATAATGATGCGTAAGTGCAGTATGTCTCTATGAAAGACTTGCCCAGGACATAGCCACTATCGTCTTCGAGATCTTCATCACTTGGTGCAGAGTTGCTAAACACGAATTCATCAAGATAAAGGGGCTGCAGAAAATCTGTTCGCCTTTGGCCAATGCCTACTGTATCTGCCATCAGTGTTCGAAGGTATGCATCCGCCAACGAGCCCCCGCTGGCGTAGCCACAACCATCTCCCGACTCCCTTGCCTTCTTCATCACCTTTATTGACATTGTAACAAAGCTCTTCTCCTCCAGTGTTTTCATCGGCATGGAATCCCAAGAATGTGAGCTGCATATCTCCAGCTTGAGAGTTCCGGAATTTGGGTTGGACCCTCAAAATAGGACGTCAAGAGCGCCACCCACGGATCAGGTTTTGATGACGCCCATTGCTCGTGCTCCTCGGGTTGGTATGTTGCTGCCAGGCTATCAATGGTACCAACAGAGATGCCCAGAACGGTTAGTGCCACTGGATGGAGATGAAATTCGAATTTGGGCAACCGGCAGCAGGATGCATCATAGTCGGATGAAAGACTACACCAAAAGGTCTTTGCATTTAGTTGTTCTCCACCTGCGAACAAGCGAACCAGGGGGCTCGCAGTCTTTGCCTTTTCGCTTGTGTAAACATCCCAATCAGGAACCCAAGATGGCCACTGGGGTTTCTCGCTACCTTGGCATAAGGATATAACATCCAGGCGATCACTCCTGATAGACTGCTCTACAAGGCAAAGACACACAACCAGTAGCGTGTTGTATGAGGAGTAGTCGGGACGTATAATGCAACCCGGCAAGTAGTCAATGGCCAAGCCGAGTAGGCTGAATATCTTGTCTTTTGGATCTGTTGACCGCTGCCGTCTATTCCAAGCAAAGAGTTGCGTAAGGGTTATTATATGGCCTTCCTTGGTCGCTTCCCTCATTCTCTGTATCTTGAGCACTTCTTCAAGCCCTCTAGTGGAGATTCTGCCCAGAAAGTTGGAAGAGTACGTGCCAGTGAACACAATATCGGCAAGCCAACACAGGGGTGACCATGTAATTTCATGAGTTCCGCATGCTACTAGTAGTTCCGCAGATACCGCGGCCTCTTGAAGCACCCATGCTCTGGTCCACCATGGTCGTCTCAATATGTCTGTGACCAGGAATTTCAGGCTCTGACGTCAATATTCGGTGTTTGTCAATTCTTTCATGAGCATCAAAATCCCTTGAGAAGACACCCCATCACCGTGACTTTGATCATAAAACCGTCGAGCGAGATCAAATGATGACTCGGCACGTTCGTCGCCGTCACCAAGCCATATAACTGTCGTATTACTTCCTTGGTAGATATCACGCATCATGCTCACTTGCGAAGCACGCTCTCCCAGGTCCCGCTGGTTGATGCATATAGCATCAATCCACATAGTCCGTGGAGTGTCCCGGCGTAGATGACGGAGGGCTGATTCGAGGTTTGCCGTAGCTTTGAAATTCCTTCCATTCACAGTAATAATCTTCGTATTCGTGTGGTCTCCCCAGACATACGAGAGCGTCTCATAGGGTTCCGAATCGGCTAGCGAGGTTTCTCGGAGGGTGCATTGGATGTCATCTCTCCATTTACCAGGTTCGATGGTAACGAGGCGGATTTGTTTCAAAGTAGTGTCCAGCTTATGATACAATTCCTGGGATTGTGACATAGTTGAGACCAAGTATTGACCTATATTGGCGTCAGTTATTGCGGGGAGGAAAAGAAGTGAGCTGAAGGGGAGACGCGGCACATTGCATCCATTGTGTTCTTAGGCACTAAATGAACCCTGACGTGTCTGGACCCACCTTCCTACAGCTTGAAGGCTACTATTATAGGCCAAAGGGTGATACATGGAACACACTTCCTTCTCGATTTGTCTGTATACTGTTATATTCTCATTCATTTATACTATCTTTTCCTACTTTCTTTTGCTCGTTTCCCATCGTAGATCTAGATACTCTAAAATGATGTCATATCACACATTAGACAAACCGTGTTTTAACTACGGGATAGCTACATTTATCACAACCTGTATGGACTATGAAAGAGTGGAATCATCTGTCATCCCCGACTTCTTAAACAACGGTACTAGTTAGACAATGCCAATTCACCTGACTCTCTACCGCAAAGCACAGCTTACCATGGGATATATATCACATACTCTACCGCCTCACCTTCACCCCCTACCTCACAGTCCCCTCCACATCCATAACACGAACATTAAAATCCCTCTGCAAAAAGATCCCATGACACCTACTCCTCCACGGCCTCTGTGGCCTCAAAGCCACCACATCCCACCTCCGCAACACCTCGACCACCACCTTACCCATCATCATCACTGCCAACCGAATTCCCAAACACCTCGTACTCCCCCAATTGAACATCAGCTCATGCACCCGATCCATACGTTGTCTCTGCTCGGGCGTCGCCTCCAACCACCTCTCTGGACGAAACACATCCACATCGGGCCCAAAAACCTCGTTCCGTAATAAACCCGGGAGATTGAGCCCTATGTTCGTACCTTCAGGGATGTATACTCCGTTCAGGGTATCGCCTCCGGGTGGGACTACACGTTCGCGCAGTGCTGTGATGGGCGGGAAGATGCGTAAGCCTTCGAGGATGCAGGCTTGGAGGTAGGGGAGGGATTTGGTTTCTCGCTCGGTAATCACAGGGGTTGTGGTGACTGCATTGCGGATTTCGTCCGTGAGGCGTTTGTAGACTAGGGGGTTGGTGATGATGTGCAGAAGGAGGGCACGGATGGAGGTTGCGGTTGTGTCGGACCCGGCGAAGCTATTTGGGAATACTTGTTAGTTAATGCTTGGTAAGTCATTTATTGAATTTGGGCTAAATTTGTACTGGGAGGGGGATATTTGGGGTTTACACACAGGGCAATTGTAACTTCTGTGACTGCTAATGATCCGTCGACGCCATTGCGAAGCCATGAATCTAGCATCGTCTCGTTGTGCTTCGGAGGAATGCCCTGCGCTATGCGGGCGTTGACTGTTTTCTGAGCGACCTATCGATACATGTCAGGGCGATATTCTTAACCCAGAAAATCTGCGAGCTGAAGTAGTATCTTACCCCCATAATTGCCCTAATGCCATCCCGATCCTGAGGCGAGGGTAACACCCTACGCAATATTGGTATGTGGGAGATCATCTTGATCCAGGTGTTTACTTCCGTAAAGATAGCAAACTTCTCCACGATGGGTAGGCGGGTTTCCAGGACATTTTGAAATCCATAACAGTCTTCATGTTGGTCGATGAAGCCCAAGGGGTGGCCAAGGCATAGGTGGCAGACCATGTCAAATAGCAGCCATTGTATGCTTCGCGCCATATCGAATGCAACGTGGCGGTCTGGCGTTGTCACGGCGTGTATCTGAATATAGTCCAGCCAGGTGAGGAGGTTCTGGTCGATGGCATGCTCCATCTGTGGAATGTCTTTGCCTTGGTACTTTGGGAGTCAGCTTTGGGGATATACATCTGAAAAGAATACTCATGAGCAGGAGCAACTAACCCCAGGAGCCATCTTCGCTCTCAATGCATCATGCTTTTGCCGATGCCGCTCAGTAATTAGATTTGCATTATGGGGATCCAGTTGCAAGGCATCAAACCACGGCCCACGAGTGTACTTTGATCGCACTCCAAGTACCTTTCGAAAGATCAGAGGGTCATTTGTGATCAGGTGATTTGGTCCTATGCGGACGAGGGGACCTGGAGCTTGAATGCTTAGTTTCCTTGTCGCCTTACTGTCTCGTGAACTTAGATCTGATTCAACATACCGTACTCCCGATTAACCTGAAGATATATGTCCGCGCATCGCTCCGAATAAAGCGCTCTGAAAAGCCATAGACGAGTGTATGGTGCCCACCAGGGCCCAGGAATCTTCCTAAGGTGCAGTGTCGATCTTATGATCCAGATAACTATCATAACCGTGGCGACAATTGGCATCAATGTCCATGTCAGGTCCCGTTGGACCAGGGCCTGAAATCCCTCTGTAAGGGCAGTCATATTGACTGCAGTATGAACGGGGGTCTTTGTCACACTGTATGACCAAGAATCGGTGCGGGGATACTCAATACGTGTGGTAAAAGAGAAGAGTGAAAGTAAACGGCTCGTCAGCCCTTCTGTACTTAACGAACATGACTAGATCTATGTGGTTAGCAGGGTACAATCGGACATATCGGAGCCGCATCTGCCAGCAGCCATCTCGCTCGTCTGACTCTTCTCCCTTCTATGACTACACAAGCCGGAGGGATATCTAGTAGTAAGGCTCACAGTCATTATAGTGGCTCAACACCATCGCTTACGGCTACGCGGACATTAGGGTCTCTTCTCGTGTCAGCCGTTTTGAATGTAGGTTGTCAAGATATTCTATGCACTGCCGCAGAATTTCTGCAGGGAAGTCCGGTATTAGAAGTTTCGAAAATTACTGATTGATATTGAACTTGTAACGCAATTTAGGTTCGCCCAGCCGGATATTTAGACATACTTGTGGTCTTCTCCGAGCCACAGCCCCGTTCAGGGTCTAGTGCCCATAGCGTTAGCCGTGCCAGGTGCACGAGGCTTCTGAGATGTATCACTATCTTCAGTTCAACCCCGCTGATTATATTTCATACTATCTCCTAATGGTCTAACCGAGAACTGAAGAAGTTTACCTTCTGGTAGTCCAATGTCTAAAGAAGACAGTAGTAGTAAATTGCTAATAAAAACCATCATATCACCCACTCAACTTACCAATGGCAGCTCGCTTATTTGGCCCGCAGCTGCTACCACTCAACATATCATTTAGTCTACACACAAATGATCTAATGGTCCGTACAGCAGACACTAGTAGTGCTCCAAGTGTCTTCATTCATCATCTACGTGGCCATACATAAAGCCAAGACTCGTATTGACAGGCTGAGATTGCCGATCCCGCTGATCATTGTATGAAAAGAACCACTGAACTCCGTCCCTTCCCCCGCAATCTCTCCTCAGTATCTAAGGTTTACCAAATGCCAATGGACGCGGGTTACCCCAAGTATCCGATGGCAGAAAGCGCCAAGCACCAGCATGTTTCCGCGCGAACAGATAATGAACAAAGTGAGTGGAGAAGGGTGGCATAGCGGGCCACTGGTTTCCACCCTCGAAGGTTATGTCACGGAGGCCGAGAACCATGGGCGGGATAACATTCTAAATGTGTTGTTTGCTATTGGTTAACAAAGTACTTCCTTGCCAGATAAAGTGGATGAAGTGACTCACCTTATCCTGCTTACCCGCCTCAGCCTCACAATCTTTGTATACTTTGAGCAAAGCAGGCCCGTCATACGGCTCCATGCTCATGAGGCTGGTGATTTCGTTGGCCAGATGCTCGCGAAAACTAGGCGCCATTTGCTCGATCAGGCTGCGCACGGTCGAGGCTTTGTAGTCAGCGGGCTTGGTTTCCGTCCCGTAGGCGAGAAGCTGCTTCAGGATGGGTTGGAAGGTATGGTGCTCGTTAACATTTCCTTCGAGAAAATTGGGCTTCTTCATCACTCCTTCAAATTGAGGGAACATTTGCTCTTCTTCCAGAGTGTGGTGGTGGGATACCCATCCGGCCCAGCTGCGGAGGAAGACTAGGTAATCGGCGATGTCTTGCGACTCAATTATTTGCTCGGCTTGCAGATAGAGGGAGTTTAAACCTCGGAGCATGGCGTTGTGGGCGAATGCCATCTCGTTGGCGATGTAAAAAGCTTCATGTTTGGTCTGCTATTGTTAACTTTGCTTTTGTGGTTCTACCCTTTTTTTCCCGTCTAGATGGCACCCAAATAGAAGGGTTGAGTCGGACATGACCGAGGTCCTACTCACAATGTCCTGTGTTTTGGATGGTGTTTCGATCAACGGCCAAGGACCATCGGCCCACGGACGGGAAGTAGTGCTAGTAGCCATAGCTCAGCGATATGCTAGTGAGTGACAGCCGTTGACATGAAAGCCGTTAAATATTGCGAGAGGATGAGAGGGTCGAAGAAAGAGAGAGATTTGGGGGTGAGAGTCTAGAGGTGGCTAGCTAGCTGATCCTTATGCATCTAGTTTAGTGTCTGAGTAATAGGACGACTCCTGTTGCTCTGACCTGGTCAAATAACCGAGAGCACCAATCATCTGGAAAGGAATCGAAAGGTAGTGTCGTATGTAATATTATAGTGTGACACCTCACAAAGAACAATCATGAACTAACATAGACTCGAATGGCCCGTTCGAGTGATCTAAAGAGACAATCAGCCTAGCACTTGTGTTGGATTCAAAAATGAGCTACGGAGTTACTGTTGGACTGTGTCCTGTGTCTGTTTGGGAGATCCCCAATACTGAACCCTTGCAAATACCCCTTAAAGGCCCTTTGACATGCCACGCAGCTGTCAACCTATACACCTAAGATATGCGTCCAAGTTAATATGTAGGCTTTTTCCCACCAGACGGAACGCACCCTTAACCTTCCTTCCCACAACCCTAACTACACCTTCCACCCCTACAACTGGTCTTGAGCAATGGAGGCGCACCCACACCCTCCACAAAAACACACCATCTCCTTCTGGCTCGTCTTCCTATCGCTCTGCCTCCTCTCCTTTGTGTCCGCATTAGATGGTGCAATCATAAGCACCGCTCTCCCCAAAGTAACCGCCTCTCTCGGCGGCGAAACCGACTATATCTGGATAGCCAACAGCTTCACCATCGCCCAAACAATCGTACAACCCTTTCTCGCCCAACTCTGCGACATCTACGGCCGACGCAACCCCATCCTAATCTCAGTGGCCCTATTCCTCCTGGGCAGCGGCCTAGCGGGCGGCGCCTCCACAGTGGGCCAGTTGATCAGCGGTCGCACGGTCCAAGGGCTCGGCTCAGGCGGCATCTACATCCTCGTGGACCTAATTGTATGCGATCTAGTCCCCCAGCGCGAACGCGGCCAATACCTAGGCATAGTCCTCTCCCTCGCAGCCGTCGGCGCCGTCCTAGGCCCCGTTCTCGGCGGCGCCCTCGCCCAAGCCAACTGGCGCTGGGTCTTCTACCTCAACCTGCCCCTCGCCGGGCCCGTACTTCTGTTCATGCTATTCTTCCTGCGCCTCGACGCCCCCCAATCCTCTCCCTCCAACACATCCTCCTCCATCCACCGCATCGACTGGCCCGGCAACATCCTCTTCGCCGGGTCCATCCTCTCCCAACTCCTCGCCCTCGTCGGCGGCGGCACCCTCCACCCCTGGACCTCCCCCTCCACCCTTGTGCCCCTAATCATCGGCATCATTGGCTGGATCCTCTTCCACATCTACGAAGCCCTCCCACAGAAATACTGTCCCCATCCATGCATACCTCCCCATCTCTTCTCCACCCGCAACAGCCTCCTCGGCTTCATCCTCGCCTTCGACGCCGCTCTCCTCATGCAATGGACCCTCTACTTTCTCCCCATCTACTTCCAAGGCGTGCAGCGCAAGTCCCCACTAACATCAGGAATTGACCTCCTCCCCTACAGCGCCTTTCTAATCCCCTTCGCCATGGTCGCCGGCACGATCATGTCCCGAACGGGTTTCTGCCGCCCACTGCACTTCACAGGCTTCGCGGCCCTCTCTCTCGCCCTGGGCCTGTTCACCCTACTCTCCGCAAACTCTCCCCGCGCCGCATGGGTCTGCGTCCAGCTCCCCGCTGCATTAGGCCAGGGTTTCCTAGCTACAACTATCCTCCCTGCTATCCAATCTTCTCTGGGTCCTGCCGATACGGCGAGTTCTACGGGCGTGTATGCGTTCCTGCGGTCGTTGGCGTTCGTGTGGGGATCTACGGCTCCGGGGATTGTGTTTAATGCGAGGGTGGATGTGTACGCAGGGAGGATCATTGATGATGAGAAGCTGAGGGAGAGGTTGTTGGATGGGAGGGCGTATGGTGCGGCGGCGGAGTTTGCTGGGGATTCGGGAGCGGGGATGGATACGGTGCAGAGAGAGCAGGTGAGGGAGGTGTATCGGTTGGCGTTGAGGACGGTGTGGTTTGTGGGGTTGGCGTTTGCGTTGGTGGGGGTTGTGGTAGGGTTGGGGATGGGGAAGGTGGTTTTGAGGGGGGAGTTGGAGGAGAATGGGTATGGCTTGAGGGAGAAGGGGGATATCCAGAGGGATGAGGAGGAGAGGGTTGTGGATGAGGCTGTGGGTGAGAAGGGGGGTGAGAAGGGGGCTGAGGGAACTGAAGGTAGGGCTCGAGGTTAAGGTTTAGTGCTTATGTTTCTGCAGATGCATGGTTCGGGGATTTGTTGATTAGGGTGTGCGCGGGTGTATGGGTGGTGATGTTTCGTGTGTAGGTGTATGGATGTAGAAAGTAATAGATGCTTAGTAGTGGATGATGATAGAATGATAGAAACAGGGCCCAAGGCAGATTTCTGCAAGTGCAAGTTCTTAAGCGAGGGTCTCTAAAGTGGTCTGCATATGACAAAATTTCCGAGATGTCGGATAAGCTTTGCGCTAGGAAATATCATACAAGTGACTTGATTGCAAATACTACTCCGTAAGCTAATGTGAATTACCGTAATGTGTTCATGGTATTAACTTTCAGTTATTTATAAAGACTAGAAGCAGCACGAGCGCCTATAGATGCTCAGAACTTTGTAATCGGGGGCCAAAGACTGCATACACGAGCAAGTATCCACTCAATTCCCCTCGTTCTGATGTGGTCGACCCAATTCGTACCCCTCCGATTGAGCCGCATTCTTCGGCAGATCTGATGAGCTATGTAAATTGTGATAAGGGCCTCGCTGGTCTGATGATCCCTGGCTGACTTGGGGATTAGGCGTCGCTGACGATGAGGACCCAAACGACTTTCCGCCGTTGCTGCTACTCTTACTAGCATTTTGTGAAAAGCCGAGCAACCCAACTATGGACCCCGTAAGCGAGGAGAAGAATAATCGTGGTTGTCGCCTTGGCGTGCTGCCCATGCCTCTGGAGTCGGAGCCGTGCGAATGGTTTCGATGTATTAGCCGCCACACGGCTGGCGAGCAACTGCAGATGATAGCGATATTAAGCTCCAAGATTCTGCCAAGAGGTGGAATGCAGTCAGTCCAATGAGTCTGATCCTTTTCCCATTACCTGCCGTCTCTGCAGCGCCAAGACACGTCCTTCGGGGCGGAGGACTTACGAGGTAACATCGTATGCGCCTTCGTTCCAGTCAGTATCGCTCCCAACGTGCAGCTGGACTCGGTAGTACATGCTAATGCAGCTGGCTAGTAGAGCTCTAAATGGCGTGTGCATTGTTAGTGAGAGACGATCCTCGTATATGTGGGCTGTCGGGATCTGCACATGATAGGCCAAATGTCCATATTCAGGGTCCAGGTGGGGCGGGTTGACACATACATACAACCAACACCGAATACCAAGGCGATGTTCAGCCTTTTCTGCCGCGATAACTTCAATTTCCAGATTATAGGCTGCGGCAGGATCAGTGCATAGGCATCTAGGAGAATGTTCCCTGCTCCCTGCACAATTGCGTCCGGCAACGCCTTTGAACAGCGGTGGAAGGTGTCCATATCAAGGTATGAGTGGCCCGCGCGCGGGGCACAGACAACTGCCGTCAGAATGAAGGTATGGATATATAGCAAAAATGCCGCAATCAGACCAGCCCAGCATGCCTTGGAAAAATTGCGGTGAAGTGGGGCATCGAACAGACGGCGGTAGAGCACGAATACTGGTGCCCGCGAAAAGAAAAAGGCGAGCGGGTTGAAAAGATTCTGCGCCAAGCGCAGTCGCCAGTATTCTTGGTCGCTATACAGCCACGATAAAGGCACGTCCCACATGTGCCGAGCTGCATAGCTCACTGAGGGCAGGAGGTCTTTTAGCACTGGCTATATTCATGGGAAGCGCATGCTTACAGTGGATCAGAAAACCCATATAGGCGAAAGTGCAGATCTGCCCCGAATTGAGTGTCAGCTATCGTAGCCGCGGAGAAATGTGGAGATGCGGAGGCCGCCGCTCGAGCCATCCTACCACGGCAAGTATGCATAGAACTAGAGACGATGTGAGTCAGATTGACAGGCAAGAGGAGGCGGTACATGGAATTCTCCATGGCTGAGAGTGCTTACCATCGTCTGCGGCAATCTTCTGTAGGCTCCGAGCAACAGAATACAGGCGAAGGGAGACAGCAATGGTGGTCAGGATGTAGAAGAGTGCGGCAAATCCAATGATCGTAGATTGCAATGACGGAGGATTGCCATATAGGTTGGGAGTCACCCCGGCGGGAGGTGTCCCCGCAGGAACCTGAGACATGTCTATGGTTGCAGACGCGGCTGCCATGGTGAGGAAAGTTGACGGTAGCTGAAAGGAATGTATTGCTTCCAGGAAGAAATCCTCGAGGCACAGCTATATACCGCAGAAGGACCAAACGTATCGTGCATCATGCCGCAAGGCAGATATTGGTCAAATCGATTGGTCCTAGATCTTGGAAGCGAGGTGCGAAGGATGTTGACAGGAGGGCCAGACAGAAATCGGTCCGGAACGTTATCTTATTTTGGAATTCTTCAGCCTTGAAGGGGCCATTTTGGTCATCTTCAAGATGATTCAAACTCTAGATAAGTGGAGTGGGCGTGGCGCAGGGTCAGTGCAGAGGTTCCTGTTGAGGCAGCCACTGCCGGTACTGTTTAGATACTGACGATTCGTATCGACGGTGGGATTGCAAATTACCACACTTCTTGTCATCTATACAGAATAATACAGACAGAGACACCAAGCGAAATTTCTAGTGCTTATCGCAGTATCTTCTGCCTCTTTGTTTGCAGATGGCCATTCAGCATACTGATGGTTGCACTGGAAATTGAGACCATTGACCATATCAGAACGCGGTCATGGAGCCACGCTTTCCCCTCCACTCTTTGTTAATGACTTGAATTATTCATTCCTTCCACTTCAATATCCTCCACCGACGAACCTACATTGCTGTATCCTCCATTATGGAGTGGCCATTGTCACACCACAAAATCCCTCTTGGGGATGCAGAAAGCCCCCCAGCGTTCACAGCAGTATCTATAACCATTCTATGGTCACTTTGGTATCTCTGGCGCTTCTACATCGCTCCCGCCCTCTACCCTAACGAACCACGCATACTACCATACTGGATTCCTTTTATTGGTGCGTCTCTTTCACCCTTTACACATCCATGATCTTTCAATTAACGCACCATCAAACAGGCCATACAGTCTCCTTCGTACGATGCGCAGAAAATGTATATCGAAGAGCAGAGTAAGCCACCATTACCCCCCTCTCCAACATCCCAGAAACTAAAACACAACGTCTCCACAAACAGTGCCTACTTCCCCGACACCGAGCCCTACAGCGTCATCCTCATGGGAGGCACAACAGTTATCATCAGGAACATCAGAGACCTATCCAGCGTGTGGCGAAACACCAGTGCCCTAAGCTACGACCCTTTCACATCTCGCATGCTCATGGCCTTTGGCATAACACCGCACCACGTGCGCAACCTATATAAACCTGATCCAGCGCGTCTGCTTTCTGACAAACAGACACTCGAGCGATCCCTGCTATCGTGTGCCAATCCGAAAAAGCTCTCTTATATGCATTTGCAGAGCCAGTGGTTCAAGACACAGCTACTGCCGGGTGAGCACCTTAATGGCTTACTGGAGGCTTATCCTGTGTTTTTGTCTCGGTTCCTTGATATCTCACTCCTACGTAAGGGTTTGGCTAAGGAGGTATCTTCTTTCAAATGTGATGGAGCCGATACCTCCGTGACACTCCCCCTGGGACGCTTCTGTCGCTATGTCCTTGCGCAGAGCGCATTCCGAACCTTTTTCGGCGAGGAGCTATTCGAGATTGAGCCGGAATTTACCCGCATCTACCAGCGCTGGGAAGACGCGAGCTGGAAGATATTTTATAACTTCCCCCACTTCCTCGCACCGGGGCTACAAGCGGATCGCAAGCGTGTTATCGCGGCTCTCGCTGTATATCTGGATTTACCTGAATCCAAGAGAAAGAACACCGCCTGGATATTCGGAGCTATGAACTCTGAACTGACGAACTTGGGCTTGCCTGCTCATGACCGCGCTGGCCTGATCATGATGATCTGTTGGGCGTATGTTTATCCCCCGCCCCAACAACCCTTACATTAATGAAACTGATTGGCAAACTGCAGAATAAACAATAACGCCCACTACATCGCCTTCTGGATGTTCGCACACATTCTCACCAACCCAACCCTGAAAGCATCCATTGAGAGCGAAATATCCGCCTGCTTCCCCAGCCCAACCTCCGACCAAGGATGCGACATGGAGAAACTATCCAGCGCATGTCCCCATCTCAATGCCCTCTGGGCTGAAGCCCTTCGTCTATACAATTTCTCAACGGCAGTGCGCAAAGCGGTGGATGACTGCTCCGTCGGAACTAAGATAATTCACAAGGGAGACCAAGTCTTCGGTCCCGTGCGAAACTTCCACTTGGCTGAGGGTGTCTTTAGTTCCGGGGCTGCGGAGTTCGACTATACTCGCTTCTTGAAAAATCCGAAGATCAGGCAGGCGAAGGAATATTTCCCGTTTGGTGGTGGACATACGCTGTGTCCGGGGAGGTACTTTGCTGAACGGGAGGTGTATTTGTTGGTTGCGATGAGTTTGAGAAGATTTGAGATGGAGGTCACGACTGCTGATGGGGATGTTGTGGAGAGCCCGAAAGTTCCGGACATTCGAATGGATTTGCCGTCGTTGGCGGCGGCAGCGCCGGCGGGGGATTTGTTTGTGACGGTGAGGAGTTGAAGTTTTTATACGTGGTGAAGGGTGGAATATGGGTGGGGTGAAGGGATATGTTGGAGGTGTTGTCAATATTTCCCAGCAAGTAAATAGTTGTATAGTCTGGTTCTTCAATCATGGAATAGCTGAATGTGTATAGAGCATGTCGAAGATCTCTCGTCTGTGGTTGCCACAGCATCAGTCAAGTCGTTAATGGCAAGACACCACACACTTACATCACATATTCGATTCCTACATCGTATAATTTCCTTTATCAATTCCACTTGCGTTATGCCTGTCCAGAGGACAGGAAACAATCAATCCTTCGCTCCCAACTCCTGATCTGGTAATCTGTCAGTCCACCACCCACTTCTATAAAACATAGCATCCTAAAATCAAATCCAACCCAAAAATCAAACAAACAAACAAACAAACTACATACCCAATCCCCCCCTCCCCCTCCAAGACACCAACCAAACAGTAACCACATCCAAACCCAACACAGGTACAATCCCCAAACACATATCCACCGCTTCCTCCGTCCATCCATCACCATAGTAAGCATGCCAAGCTACAATAGGAAATGTAACAAGATGCATGGTAATAAACCCGACAAGTTGGATGGTGATATCAGTCGACATGCCGAAGAAGTAGAGCTGGATCCACACAATCATGCAGGTTCCTAGCCCGTCATATAGACTATACCAGAAGGGGCTCCATTCTGGGGATGGGATTAGGTAGAAGGAGAGGGTTTCGAAGAGGGATGGGAGGATGGTTGGTGGCATTGGTGGTGGTGGTGGTGGCGGTTTCGATAGGGTGTTGTATATATGGTCTTTTGGAATGGGGAGTTTGTAATGAATGGGAGGGTATTTCTTGGTTTTTATGGGGTGGGATATCTTTTAAGCTGGTTATTTGAGCTGGACCCCTGAAAGGTCTATAGTAGGGCTGAAATTTGTAAGTTTTATATGGCCTGCGGATGGGTCCTCACTGTGGGGTAAGCCGAAACCTGGCAAATCGGCGGCTGCACTATGAATCAGTATCGCTTTGGAGGGTCAATGGACCATCCATCGGTAATACGTCGGGTCCATTTATTTAGATTCGATGAATATACTATGCGCGAAATAATTTAAAGTAATCATCGGTAACTACGTATCAAGAACTCGTGATGAAGTACCCAAACCTATGGGTATAGTGATGTGCCATGATAGTACTAACAGTGGAGTTTTCTCTATCTCTTTTATATAAAGCATGTCATAGAGGAGAAGTAAATATACATCTAGATCCCTTTGTACAGTCCAACCCAAGACCCTGTCTAACCCTCGAAGACATTTTGACTCAGCTCCACACCCATATCCTTGGCCATTCCCTGCATCTGCGCCTCAATGCTATCCTCCATACCACCACCAAGTCTCAAGAACTGCCGCACCTTCGTGAACCAGAAAAACAGGTCCGTGCTGAACAGCACTACGCGGAACAGCAGATGGCGACCAAAGTTCCTCAGCTTCTCCGATGCCGACAAGTCCGGAGACTCGACAAGCGCGCGGGACGCCCAAGTTCCGGTAATCTTGACGCGGTTGACGGGCGAGCCCAGGAACTGGTTGTTGGCCTGAACGATGCGAAGGTTGCGGCCAATGAAGATCAGTGGGCGGGGCCATTTGGACTCATCGCCGAGTATGTCACGAATTGCTTTGCGGGCAGCTTGCTGCATTTCGTAGTGGCGCGTGGCACGCTCAGATTTGCTGAGCCCTTCGAAGGAGCGGTGCGTCGAGAGGTCGCCGCCGCGGTAAGGTCGCATCAGGGTCGCAGAGGCGAAGAGGTCAGCATTCTGGACGCCCCAGCCGCGCACGATGGAGTTAAGGGTGGTGTTATCGAAGGTGAGAAGGGCTTTCCAGAAGCGGGCGTACTGGTGTCGGAATTCGGTGTCCATCTGGATGTAGAGTCCGTGATCGATGAGGACAAGCTCCGGATGACCGGAAGGAGTCCGGCGGATGAAGATGTTGCCTGGGTGCGGATCGCAGTGGACTATGCCCCAGAGGAACATTTGTGCGGAGAAGAGGTCTACCATAGTAGTCATGACTTCCTTAAGAGAAAGGCCGAGACCAGCGCGGGCGTATCCACCGCGCCAGTGATCGCGCTCGGGCTTAATCTTGGTCGTAAGGTTCGGATTGCGAGCCACTTTGGCGACAAGGTCTTCGGTGTTGCGCGCATCGAGAGGCGTGCCATGGCAGCCTGGGGTGCCGCTGCGCCAACCGCCACGCCAAGTCCGCGTGATGGAGTCCTTGTCCCAGAGGCGGACACCTTCAATCCACTCGGCGGTCATGACACGCTTAGAGCTGAGCTCGCGGTAGACCTTCGGAATGTACACGCGGCCGCGGAGACGGGACTCTCCGGCGACCAAACGCGCCATGTGCTCGGAGTTGTCGGCCTCATTCTCAAAGTCGGTCTCAAGGGAGAGACGCTCAGACACATAAGGAACCAAGCTGTAGAATGGGATATCAAAGGTACGGCTGTAGATCCAGGCAACGACTCTGTTCTCATTAGCATTTTGTGTGCGATGCGGGGTGCGGGGTGGGAGCTTACTTGAAAGCCCACAGATCCCATTTCAGCTGTTGAGCGATTTCACGTTTCTGTATTTTGATTGCCACCTCACGACCATCCGGAAGACGCGCCCAATGTACCTGTGCTACACTGGCACTCGCGCGCGCAGCCCGCTCCATAACACCCTTGCCGGGCTCACCAGAGAAGGAGACGCCAAAAACCTCCTCAGCGGAGCGGCCAAAGTCCTCGCGGATGACCTTCTCGACATCTTTCCAGTCGTTCTGAGGGGCGTCATCGAACATGCGCGAGAACATTTTCTGAAATTCCGGGGGCAGGATAGCGGACTGCATAGCGATGGCCTGGCCGATCTTCAAGTACAGACCGCCATTGTGACGCAGGAGGTCGGACAGACGCTCAGCATTGCGGGTGTGTACGGCGTTGATGTCTCTGGCCAGCGGCGGGTTGGGACGGAAGTTTATCTTGTAATCCAGGGCTACCAGAAGACCCAAGCTAAAGGTGCGAGCCGTCCGTGTCAGAGACGAGGCGTAGAATTGGGTGTCGAGAACGTAGACGGTGCCGGTGGCTAGCGAGAGGTAGAACAGCCGACGAAGCCATTTTCGGGTGCGATCGTAGGTTTTGGCCTTGGTAGGTCTACCTAGGGAGGCTGGCGAGGGGGGGACGAAAGGCTGGTAATGGCCTGCCTGGACATATTGACGGAGTTGCAAGAGAGGCTGACGGGGTGCACGAGGGGAGAGATGGACACGCGGGCGAGCAAGCTGGGAGGGAAGGGAGCGCCAGGCGCGGGAGACGGTGGCCGATGCCATCAGAACGAGGAGACAGGTATGAAGATTGTCATGGCGGGGGCATGTAAGAGGACAGTGAAGTCAATGGCGTGACAATGGCGAGAAGTAAGCGGATTTCAAGGAAGCAGAAACAGAGGGGGAAACGCAGATGACGTGAAGGCGGAGAAGGAAGTCGGAGAGGATGACGAATTGCCCGATCGGGCCATTCGGGCGGAGAATTGAACCAAAATACACGTTTTCTCCCATCATTTCCACTCTCTTCAGATATATACCCCTTAGGGGAATATAAGGGGGAAAAAATGATGTTGTACAGTCCAAATTACCTCGACATATGAAATCAAGGTAGTAGCTGTGGTTGTTCTCTCTGAGATTTCGCTATCAGTGTGGATCCCCTATTGAATCTAACCCTGAACTACTATAGAAACAGTAAACCACAGATGTCTGGTGCTACTCAAAGATCTTTTTTAAATCAGATATCTTTATTGTTGTTCTTCCTACTCCAGGCCAAAGCAGTGTGCAGTGACAGAACATGACATGAATGATTCATGTACGATGGAATGTGAACGCATCGCAAAACCGGCATGGTTTTCAAAGAGCACCAATGTTGCTCTTCATGTTCAAGTGAGATCAAGTCTTCCACTGAGCATAACCAGGGATGTCAGTTGTAAATCTAAGGTTTCAACACGCTAAACAAGACTACTAGTGTTACCCTAGCCCAGTAGACGTACACAGTGTAGAAGTCCGATCTGCGTCCCAAGACCAGAGGGAAAGAGAGCATTCCAGAAGTTCAATATGACGATTCAGCAGAGCGGCCTACATACACAAACTGAGCAACGATAGGGGCGAATCGAGTTGCCAATAGCAATGTGCTCATGCCCCGTAGCCAGTGTGGCGCCAGGGGCTGTGACCGAAGGTCGGACAGCATGCCCATAATCGTGGCCATCTCCTGCGTCAGAAAAGGTGGGATCGACATGATGATAAGCAAGTGTAGTCGCTCCACGTCTGTATACCAAAGCTGAACAAAGCCGGCTCACAACCAGACCTGTACATGATTGTCCCTAAAAGTACACCCCCGAGCATGAGTGGGATGCTTGTTATACATCCTGCCGCGAGCTGAATTATTAAGATGGACGAGGGAACCCCTGGGATACTGAAGGGCTGACTGTATACTACCGCTACAGATACGGGGAATAGACAAGAAGCGCATATTTGCAAAATAAAATTTTCTTTTCTCTTACTTCTGCGCGCTTTGTATTAACTGAAGTCTCGGCAGCTATCCATACCATAATTACAATATGTAACTTCAGGTTCACCCAAATGCGAATACTATGATACTCTTGTGCACTATGTCAGCGGTATTCATGTCAATGCTCTTCACATGAAAACCTGGAAGATAGGGATGCTCCAAAGCTTATCATCCCTTACTCTGCCTCTAGATGTAATTGGTGCTGATATGGGTGACTAACGATGTGAGGTAGGGTATATAGCACACAATGCATAACCCGCTGTGATTACCAAGTTAACGATAAGAGCTAGATTAGTACTACACGTTCTTGCAAGTTCTCTTAAACACGTATACTGCTATTAGCTTCCCTAGTGAAATCTCTTTACCAGTTACCTTACTGGAAACTACAAGGAACGATTCGAGAATCTTCTTTGCAATCCAGGGTAAATTTGCTCCCTTATGTAAGAAAGATCTTTGGCTCTAAATTGGGTTGTCTATAGTAAGGCTCGTAGACTGCGTTGTAAACCTTAGCGATGGACCTGCTGTTTTTATAGTGCCATGAACTCGAAACCGCCCATAGTAACTCAAGGGCAGCCCCTTACATTCGTGACAGCAGCTGCCTATCGAAAGACATACGCATGATTGTTCCAGGACCCTCCGGTTCGTCTTGACGCAGAATCCGAAAGTGGCATGTTGCAGTTGCATTGCAGCGAATCATCAACTATCCGGTTGTCAGGAGACTGGGCCTATTTGGCGCCAGTCCAATGCGAGCGCCAGGTCAACACAATGATGCCTCGCGATGAAATCAGATACCTAAATCAAGTTGGGAGGGTTGACTTCGCGCGCTGGGCGTAGTAGGGAAAACGAAGTAGTTTCGAGGCAATCAATATCTCTTTGGGCAGCTGATTAAAACGTAGCCACCGAACTATCACTGCAGTGTAATTCATGTGCAATGCTAACCCGCTGTTCCCTTGTTGGATCTACATTGAATTCGAATCCAGAACCGGACATACGCATGTCGCAATCGTCAAATCAGGTATAAAATGGTAATACTCCCTCCGGGTTCGAGATATTTTCTCCCCCATTTTTCTCCATCACAGCCATATCGTCTATAGTTCTCTCTTTTAGAAGCCATGACTTCTGAATTCTATAACAGTGATCAGTATATACAGCTGCGCGAGTCTATCAAAGGCCGAAATGTTACCATACCAAACCTATACAAGCTACTTCCTGATTGGGAACTCAAAATTCATCCCATGTACCAGAAGGCACGAGATGAATGTCTGGCTCCCTGGATGCGACGGTACCGAAATTCCCGACATAAAGTCTCATGGAATGGGCCACATTCTGACTTGCAGTAGCTATGTGGATGATGATCTCACAAGGCGAAAATTTGAACAGGCCGATTGCACTCTGTTTTCTGCTATCCTTTGCTCAGACACTTCGTATGAGAAACTCTGCACGGTGGCAAAATACATGTTTTGGGTATGTTCGGCGCTTCCTACTAATTGTCATACATTCTGACTGACAAAATGTAGTATTTCATCTGGGATGACTGTGAGTTCCCATTCTTCCCATTTATGACTGACTATGCTGAGGAATATGATTTCCGGTAAGTGTTCGATTGCGGTGCATTAAAGGACGACCGTCAGGCAGCGACTCGCTACCGAGATGCAAGTCTGGAATATTTCAAGTACAATCTTCTCCTAGAAGGCGAATATCCAGACATATCACAGTTTCCAGTGGAGCAGCAAAAGGCATTGCGTTGCTGGGATGAAGTTGGAGCACACATTCGCCAGGACTGTGACAGAGGTATGCTACATACACCAATGTATCTGGTACTGCAGGTTAAGTCTGACTATCGAAGAAACTTGCCAGATCCTTCTCGAACAAATGCTGGGATATGTTTCCAGCGTTAGCAACGTTGACAGTCTGTTCAGCAGCAGTGCCATGCCATCGGTGGAGAGTTACTGGCAACGGAGGGAGCGGACAGCAGCTGTGTACTGTGTTATATGCACCTTTCCGTGAGTCTTCTGCTGTGTTCTCCGCTTTCTAGTCTTCTTACCAAGCAATCAACAAGCTTTGCATATGGATTCAATATTACGAGGGCTCACGTGGAGAAAGAGCACATGTCCCGCATGTGGAAACATACATCTTACTTGGCTCACATGTAAGTCATTTACCCAATGTTCTTCCCATTCATGGACACTAAATATGGCGTCAATATCGTCAGATCAAACGATATACACTCATTCCAAAAGGAATATGTATGTCATGAGACCGATCCCTCATGTTTTACACTTGACTGTCACTGACAACACCAGAATGATGGACAGCTGGAGAACCTGATTCCGGTGCTTATGGCAAACATAGGACTTGATGTTAACCAGGCAATGCAGCTCAGCTACCATATTTGTCGTTTAGAAGTCGAGGGCTTCTGCGCCAATGCAGATAGGCTCTGTGTGGGTGAGGACGCCCAAGGACGACGTATTCGGGAAGTCTTCATCAATTGCTGTACGGACATGTTCATGGGACTCATACACTGGAGGTATTACAGAACCCTGGCCAAATAGAGAGTCTTGGCTGACCTTTACCAAGTTATGTTAGCAAGCGCTGGATCAAGCAAACGGATATCAATCCTGATCAAACTATTACATTTCAGGTTGGATCTGACAATGATGTGGCTGAACTTGAAAGGCTTGTTGGGCAGACGTAAAGGGCCCTCTGGCCAAAAGGTTATTGTCAGCTAAACACACCACTACTATCATGCGGGAGTCCATTTGTCCAAGCGATTGAGTTGAGTTCAATCGTTACCGTGATGTCCCAAGAAGGTAATTACTACTGATCCAATGGAAATGAGAATGCACTAGATCCAAGAATATTATGTTGCTCATTTTCTATGCTCTGGATCTGCCGTAAGACTTTGTTAGTGATGAGTGAGTGATACGAGCAACGTAAGTCCTATATTGGATGAGCATTCGAGAAATGTGGGAAGCCACTAGCTATTATCACAGCACAAACCATGTATCCTTCGTTGGATCCGCTTTGCATCAAATGAAGTTATGCTCTTCGAGTACTAACCAGACCATCATCTATGCCCAAGGGTCACTTTTGGTAGCTTTAGAAAAAGTCAGGAAAATAGTCGGATAGTAGATAATGCTAAGTATATTCGTGATATTTCCCCCCAACCCCAAAACAAAACAAATACTAACTACACCCCCAACAACTCCTCCACCCCCACCACCCCCATCCCCCCAAACCCCCCACCCAACCTCCTACAAACACCCGCATACTCCCTCATCTTCCCCGGAATAATCACCTCCCACAACTCATCCTTCTTCAACCACTCCAACTGCTCGCGACACACCTCCTCCCTCGCCAACGGCAACAACGTCGGCAAATTACTCAGCGCCGCCCGCACAAACCCCTTCTTAAAGCACGTCCCAAACGCCGCCAACGTCTCATCATCAGAGCAAATATCCCTGCCCTGCAACAATGGCCCGCACTGTCGCTTGATCACATCTGCTACATCATCGCCCAGCCGCACCATCGCCTCCTCCTGCCGCGGGTTATCAACATGTTCCATGAGACTGCGCACCGCGGGCAGGAAGGTATTGTTGCGCGTCCATAGATCCCAGTGCGGTACGGTAGGTTGGCATCCCTTGTCGCAGACTTCACGCTGGAATTTGGTGAAGATGTCGTTGGGGCGGCCTGTTAATGTGGTGAGGACGCGGATGCAGAGGGGGCTGAATTTGGCGGTGGTGAGGAGGGGGTGGAGGAGGAGGAAGAGGATGGTGGTGAGGAGGAGAGACGGCGGGAGGTGGAGGTGGAGGAGGCGCATGGTGGGTGGTGGTGGTGATGGTAGTAGATGTGATGGCGGCCTGCGCGCTGCATGTAAAATCAAGAAACCGGTCTTAATTAACTCTGTTTTATCGTAGGCTTCGTCATGGGAAATAAAAAAAAAGAAAAGATGGATTGTTAGGAAGGAGGAAGAAAGCAAACCCGCTCAGTTGGTTGTTGGTTTCTCCTCAAACTCCAGATTTCTTGTTCTTCTTTTCCCCTGATTGATCGACACCCCGCAGAAATCGGTCATCATCCCTCGGCATCCATCTTTCGGTCATGCACCTGCTTTTCGCATCATCAGCAGCATCATTATCAGCATCATCATCATCAAATTACCAATAGTAATTCAAAATCGTAAATTCCCTCATGAAGATTTCCAGGGCAATTCCACGCACAGACACCGAATATGATCTCTCATATTGAAATCATGATCCGATCCCTCCCCCAGCCCCTCGGCCCTCCAGAAACTTATCATCGCGGCCAGCGCGGGAACACCCGTTCAAAGTTCTGACAGCCACGCTGCAGAATCTGAAATGAAAGGGGAGCGGCAGCAGCAGCAGCAGCAGGAGCAGGAGCCCTCTGGATCATCGTGACACACAGGAAACTAGTGGTGATGAGCACTTGCAGCAGGCGTCCGATGGTTCGTGCCATTGCATCTGATCTGTCCAGCTGGTGATATGATATGGAATGCGGGGATGGCTCGATTCGGATAATTAGGCATCGGGGCTGCGCGTGTCGTTCGTCGGCCATGTCTCGGGCTTTATCACGAAAGGGGAGAGAATGAGTGTGGGTTAGTAGTTAGCAGTAGTCATGGGATGTATCGATCTGTCTGCCTGTCGGTCTGTCGGTCAGTTCCTCACGGGGCGTCTGCAGGGGGTTGATGTGGGATGGGTTTCACGTCCAAACCTGTTCGAACAGGTTCGATCCCGCCAGTCCGTGTTTGTGCACTGCTGTTGATTAGATTGGGTTTGGGGATTTGGGTTCATCCCTCCCTCCCTCGTTTGTCATGGGCCCTTTCCCCCGTGTGGGTGGAGTCAAGTCGGGAACGAGTTGTCTACTGTACGAGTCTACGGCAGATCTTCGTCTCCTGAACCATACATACTATCTACTCCGTAGTCTACTTCATTTTCACGCAGTGATGAGGATGGTTGATGGATGATAGATGACCTTGGGGGTGTTGTTCACATGTCTTCATTAATATTATTATTATGTTACTCATCTGACCCAGTCAGTCAGGTTTAATCAATACCGAAACCGGCCGTGCCTGATTCTCCCTTGCTTCCCATGCCCGAAACTCCTCGCTAAACTCATCCCGAAAAGATAACTCCCAGTGCAACCGGTGACAAGAAATGTAACAAACAGATAAGGAAATGTCTCAGAGAGTGATCCAGCATGCTGGACAATGTTGAGATGATGTGATGATGTGATGATGTTGGTGATAAACAAATGAAACAACCGTCATGCCAGACGGGTATCGCTCAGTAGCTATGCAGAATCTTGGTGGAAAAAAAAAAAAAAAAAGCGTCGTCGAAGAAAGTCGAAGAATGAAAAAAAGTTTATCGACAAAACATAAATGTAAAAGAAGGAAGGCAATCAGGCCTGTCGGCGACGTCGCAATTCGTCGCGGTTGAGTAGTCGCCGAATTCGTGACACAATGCGGCATGCTGTGGAGTCTGCGCAGACGTTAGCGTGGCTCATATGCACCTTGTCTGACAGATCAGACTGGTTGGATTTGAAATCGGAGGCAACCGATGAAGGACGTGTGCACATACCACTGTTCCTGCGTAGCATCGACTTGGTCGAATAATGCTCCGACGCTTCGTCCACTGAAAGGCTGCTGTCATATCCAGCGTAGTGGTTGGCCTTGCACCACGGGTACTCGTCGGTTTGGAGCTGAAGAGCCACGACGTGTGGGTAGAGTGTCCCGAGAGGGTAGAGGATCTCTTCGGTGGAAAGTTCGCGCTTCATCTCGAAGCTCTGGCTAGTCTAGAAGGCATCAGTAATTGGTCTTCCATTCCTTTGGAACAAGATCACTCACATAAGGCTCGTAGTTGGTGCGGTAAGGCATGGTGAGTGAGTGAGCGAGGTAGCGACAGACGAGTGTGGTGGTTGTAGAGGATATTGTAGTAGTAGTTGGAAGAGTTGTAGAATGCACTGATCAATGCTATTATACACGTTCTGAAAGAGACTTTGTGATGGATGGAGAACGAGTGCCTTCCGTCCGGGAGAAACCTTGATGGTTATATAGCATGAGATAGCAAAGCATGCTGTGGTGGAGGGTGACGGTCAGCCACTCCGTCCGTAATCATTTAGAGTGGGGAAGCTTCAGCGCATGGCAGGGTGACCCTGGATTAACGCTGGGCTTGGCCGGCCTAAGATTTCCATTTTTACTATTTTCTTTTTCTATTAATCTCTGCAGCCTCCATGGCTGGCGGGCATGTCCACTGTGATGGATCTAATCGCCCGAATGATTTGAGTTTTAGCGGCAGTCATGATCTCATCATATCATAAGCCTGCGGGACTAGCGAACCAGCGATCAGGTAAAAACTGGGACGAATCTGTCTAAATCTGACTAGCGTCCTGACGAGCTGGGCCATGTCGGTCCGAAGACTAAGAGAGAGGCTACGATGGAGCGGCTATCCCGATCTCTCAGGTCCAGAATAGACATCCCAGCAAGCAGGTACCTACGAGCATTGTGAGCGCCCACTGAGCGGTTCGGCCAGGTTCGGTGGTCTCCACCCGTCAGGCACGCCAGGTCTCTCTAAACCGGATGAGGAGTAGGCTCGAAGCAGCGGCTGAAGCAGGCGAAGGCGGTGGACCCAGGGTTAGCGTGGACGCCAGGCCTCAACACGACGCTGGATCCAAGTCTGACTGGCTGACTGGCTGGTCGCTGCTGATCGACGTCCAAACCACCGGTGTCTCCGATGGGCGATGGCCGATGGCCGCGATGGCAGGCCTTCCCTCGCTCCCCCTCCATCCCCTTGCATATTGGGGAGTCAGGTGCATCGGATCTCCTCCACGTTTGCAGTTCCTGGGGGGTTGCATATGTATGATGACAATGAGGGTAAGAGGGAGCGCATGCCTGTACCACCCAGGGGGGTGTTCGCAATCACCCGCATAAGCCAAGGTCATCAGGACCATGTGTAAGATTGAGAGAGTTACTACTAGTAGGTAATCATGTGTCATGATTGCGTCGTCTATGGGTGCGGGGATGCCAGAGGAGCTGTCACAGATCGGTGTCGACTATTGATTCTCCATTGACTGGGGGGGTGTAGAGTAGTGGGCAGAGTAATTAGTCTGGTCTGGGAGACAACAAGTTGTGGTCAAGGTTAGTCCAGGTCGCCGATGACCAGGACCACACTTAGGTTTGCAGGCGGTGGGTGGGCTTTGACCCAGACCCAGGACATGGGTAACTCAAGAAAGGCACTAGATGGGAGACTTGCTAAACTCACACGGTCGCATATTAGTTTCCCATTGGCGCTGGTCGCTTTATTAAACGCAATCAACGATAGATTAAACCATGGGTGAGCGGGTTGAGGGGAAGGAGGATAAGCGAAGGAGAAGCAGACCCCGGTGCTCTTGGCCATTCCAAATCCTTTGTGTTAGCGTCGCTGGGGTTGTCCAGGTTCCCGGGATTGCAAATCTGTGGTGCAGAGAAACAATGGCCATACATCATCGAGGTGTATGATGGCTACTAGTAATGATCTGGTATAGTAGTAGAGTAGTATTGAAGCACTAAGACATTAAGACACCAGGATTGACTCTGTACTCAGTAGTTCAAAGTAGTTCCAAGTCTCCCCTGCGGTTCCTGGGATTTATCAGGGCAGTGATTGGGTCACGGTGCCTGGGCAGTAACCCAATGCGGCAAGACGGTGTACCTCAGGCTCGGGGTTTCACAAGGCCTTACAGCCTTAGGCCGGAATAGGGCTGCACAGCCACTGCGCCCCACCCGCGCCACATCACGAACTATGCCACTAGTCCTATCATAGTATCATCGTGGCTCGCTTTTCTGTGGCTGGAATGCTGTGGCTTGACCCATCCCCGTCAATAGCAGCAAATCCGTGATAGCCTCAGATCCTCGCATGGGCAATAGTTTGCGCGCCAGCTCCACCTGCCATGCGGATCCTCGTGAGCTTGCTTCCACCGTTCTTGGGCCTTGCATTTCCGCATGCTAATCCCCGATTTTTATCGGTCTGACCGTCGTTCCCAACATGGAGGAAAGGAGGAGTATAAGGAGGGCCTACCCTCGTGCTTGAGGTCCACGAATTCACCAATTCTTCATCTTCACCGGACTTCACTTCACTATTCTAAGTCTATAACCTCTCAGACATCATATGTCCTTCCTCCGTGGTCATGAATACCAACATGCATATGAATCTGTCTCCCTGCGGAAAAGACTCGAGGCCAACTTCACCTCCTCCCTACGTCGAATTTCACGATCCTTTCTCCGCCGCATCTCTGGCATATCAACCCCAAAGTAAGCCTACTTCCTAGTTTCCATTAAGTCACCTATCGTCGTGAAGCCATGCCAACCCCTTCCGCAGAATCTCTTTGTCTTAACATGGACACTGAAACCAGTCCTGGTAGACCTGAACCTCCGGCCTTAGCTGTTCCCATGACACCTTCGTCTCCAAGCTGGCCTGTCCACCCTGATCCTTGCCAATTTCAGGATCAACCCTTTATGCGCACAGGCACGGAAGAGGTTCCCGAGCCTGCTTCAGACCTTTGCCCGGACCTCCTTGACTCCTGGTACCCGAGGTACCTGGCATGCACGCAGTTCTTTGTTTCCTATGCGCAGCATACCCCGACAGTGCAGTCGTTGGCCGCATTTCTCAACATTCAACTGCCTTGCCAGCAATCTGGGGCCCAGGCAACCCATCCGTCATTACGCGCCTACATTCGGCGCCTCATCGTAACAGCACAGGATAGTCCTGAGGTGCTTAGCGCGTTCTTCGGAGAAGATTGGGTCGGGGGAGTGGGGAGCATTGTCAAGCAAGAGCGGGTGAATTACTTGTTTACGGCAAAGAGCGGCGGGTGGGCGTCAACAAAGGCGGCGTATGACATTCTGCCGGACGAGCAAACGCCATTTCTACGGCCATTGCGAGCAGCTGCAGAGGAAGAGGTACGTGAAGCGGAAGCCCGCTGGAGTGAGTGGTTGGCAATGGAAGATTGGATGGTCGGACCGCGCAGTCCGTGGTGAATGTATGTTAGCTATGATGGTTACGATGATGAATCTCCTATGTAAAAATATATTTCCTATGTTCAATATATTTATTTTCCAAGCTTCAATTAGTATTCTGGTTTACAGCGACGCAAATTGTATAACTACTACTAGTACTAAGTATGTTTCATACAATGGTGGTTGTATATTTTATCTACTACTCCATCCGATGAAGCAATATACATCGCACCCCCAACAACAATATACCCAAAGCAGCTACTATACTATCCACTACATAATCGTCCAAGTTCCAAAACATGCGTCGATCACTCCACGTAAATCCCGACGACTCCATAATCTACGCGAAAACACAGAATTCCAAATCACAACCCCATAGATTAATTAAGCTACACCCACATCTCCTTTACCCAAACGGGCATGACGACGACCCGGGAGCATGGGACCTGTCAAAAACGCGACCGACACCGGCTCAGGAGAATTCTCCTCCACACAGAATGCACAGAACAACAAGGGAAAAACAATTCCATTCAGGCCCACATGGTGTCGTTGCCCAGAAGATGAAATCTCTGCTTCAGCATCAGCCAGCCACCAGCACTCGCAGTTGGCTACCAGCTGGAGACTAGACATGCGACGGAGGCAGCACTAGGGAGTTTTAGTTCGTTTCTAGACGGGATAAAAATAACCGGGCGCAGGAACCCGGGGGTTTAGAATGGATGATTATGATGCTGATGCTGTCAGGGTTGAATTTTCAAACTAGACTAGATGAATTAGACTGGATGAATAAATTAACTCCTGATTTTAGGAGAATTATTTTTTTAAGGTAGTGCTATTGATGAAGTTGTCTTGACGCACCGCCACATCGGGGAAGTCGGGGTCCCCGACAGGAGGAATTTTGCACCTTAACACGGGCTTGCTTGTTTGTTATCTCTCCATCTATCTATCTACTGACCATCCATCGTGCTCGGGAAGAATGACAAATTCCTCTCTTAGCTCATTAACTATCGACTACTATATCCCCTTAAGCTATATCATATCACCCCCAATTGGGTAAAATGACGCCTTCGGGCACGTCCGAAATTAACGACTCGTCATATTAAGCCTATTTTCATGACTCACTCCCCTTCAATTAAGGTAACCCGTCAAAGTGTCAATTTTTAGAGGACTGTTGACACGGACATTTTACATCTCTCGCGTGGTGGTTTCCTTCCATTCTTCCATTGCATTATCTGAATTTCTCCGTCTGGCATCCCACCACCACTCACATTCCTCCTAACTACTAGTTACTTCTCCCTATTTACGGGCCTATACCCACTTCCAGTCGATCAAACAGCCAGCCACCCGCCAGGCACACATGCCAGCTACTACACCACTGACAAGGATGTCAACTGCAACCCGAGATCATGCTCAGGACAAGGCGGATCCCATTCTCCATCAGGCCTGTCGCTTCGACGAAGCATCACCACATTCTGAATGGACCCAGACCCAGCTGCTTCCATTGCTCCGGTCCCATCTCCCTCACTCCCTGCCCTTGCTCCACCGTATCCAGCATGAGATCGCCCATCCGTCCCCCACTGCAGTTATCCTAACCACATTCCCGGGTCCAGCCTCGTCCTCAGCCTCGTCGCCAGTGTCACCCTCAGCCTCAGGGGAATCAATTCCAGAACTAGTCTCTAATCCTGGTCTAGTTTCAGTTCCAGGTCCCCGGGTCCCCGACACTGCGACTCCTCTGGCACCTGACACCGCGGTCCCTGCAGCTCGTTCGGATCCTGAATCCTTCCTCCCTTGGCTGATCGCCTACGTTGACCTTAACGCTGGCCGCGAGAATCAAGTCATGGTGTACTCGAGTCTCGAACCCACCGCCTCTATTCCCTACACTAGCACTAGCACCTCCCCAGAAGCATCATCCCCAGGAGACACCACTGGTAGTGATAGTGATAGCAATAGCAATACCAGCACAATCCCCATAACCACCCTCCCACCTCAACACCACCCCCTCCTACGCACCCAACTCCTCTCCCTGTTACACCACATCAAACAACACCTCCTCCCCCCTTACCTCACCACTCTATCCCAATCCCCTTCAACCCAAACCCAACCCCAAGACCACCAACTTCCCCCTCCTCCCCCGACCGCCTTCTTATTCGGAAACCTGCACACGGGCCTCTTCTCCACCCTCCTCAACACCAACACATCCTACTCTCTCGCGCAGGCCACCTCACCCGCAGATTTCATCCCGGGGATCAAAGTCCACCGCTTCAGTCAGCCAGCCTACGTCAAGTACCTTCTTCCCAGGGAAGTCATCTGCCATCAACCTCGAGTCAAGGAACGAGGGAACTTACCTCCCGGCTTCCACTTCAGCGATGGCTGCATCCCAAGAAAGAATCTAGGACTTGTACGGTCGAGAACAGTCATCCCCAGATCGGAGGAGACGTTGGCGAAGTTGAGGAGTTGCGCGGTGTATCGCGATGGCGATATGACTCAGACGCCAGTTGCGTGGGCGTTCCTCGGTACGGATGGGAGTTTGGCGACGTTGCATGTGGAAGAAGAGGTTAGGGGGTTTGGGTTGGCTGGGGTTGTGGGGAGGGAGGTGATGAGGAGGGGGATTGAGGAGGATGAGGGTCTGAATGATGGGTGGATGCATTCGAATGCGGCGGAGGATAATTTGGCGAGTAGAAGGGTTATGGAGAAGTTGGGGGGAAGGGTAGGGTGGACGGTTTGTTGGTGTGTTTTGGAGGTGTAGATTAGATGGTATGTAGATTGTATATATTTTGTTCATGGTTGTGTTAATATGCGTTTTAAAATAGATCATGTTCTTTGCGAGGAAATTTCATAAATGTGGGCAGTCACTGCAACTACTTGTACATGCCTAGTACTATAGCGATAGTCAACCTCCCATTATCAGTTTTACTAGAACTCATCAAGGCACACTATCCAACCACGACATATCAAAGGAACCAGGTAAATCCCCAGTATTCAACACCGCCCCCAAGATACCGTCACCCAGCGAGTCAACGTGAGAATATATATATATCATATCTTTTGGGTTCGTATCTAGCACGGTACCTAGTACCTTCATCATGGCATCGTATAAGAAGGACACCCTTAGTACTCACCGAATTGCTCAGGACTCCGTGTATTATGAAGAGAGAATTGGTACATTCACCAATACTTTTGCAGTTGCAGTGAACTAAAGAGTTATTAAAGGCGACAAGGCCACGATAACCGGCAAACCGGGGAACCAAACTTCTTCTCCAAAGATAAAACGCCCTCGAGTGGATAGCCAGCTATGTCACCGCTGGCAAGAAGGATCGTGTGCTCCAATGGTGCTTCAGCAAGGGATCTGACAAGTTTGCTCCTTGTTTGTCCGGTTTGAGTGTTCTTTAAGATATTTACATAAGATTAAATCTGTTTGGATTCCTCTGGGCAGCAGTTCTCTACGCAATATAGGTCCCGGCGCAATCGATAACCTGCGTTTCTCAACCGCTGGTCAACGGCGAGATCTGTTAGGGTATAAACTCCAATGACTTACTATTTGATGTGCTTCATCTTATTGACTTTTATAAGCAGGGGATTGTGTTGGACAAGGGGACTGTTATCGTGACTGGGATGCCGTCGAGACGGTGGTGGGATGATTCCACCGACGTATCTGAGGGATGGAGATGTTGTTGAGGTGGTGGTTGAGGGGTTGGGAGGTTCGAGGAATGATATTGGGGTTGTTACTATTCTCCTGTAGCTGTTATGTGCATTAGTCTGAGGTTTCGGGGACGTTCCTGAGATATACAGTCCGATGTAAATGGTGAAAATATGTCTAAACTTACTGCATTTAGCATCTCGGATTACTATCTCCTTCAATTCTGACCAGAGTAGTATTATATTCCCTCATTATATACATTAGTGTACTGCATACGACAGAACCACCATAAAAGTCTGTCAACTAAGAGACGGTGACAGTATCATATCTTGTTCTTACTATCATCCCCCCACACTCCACACGCACCACTCATCCCATACTCAATCCCGGGATACCCTGGAGGTCCTCCGTCCCTCGTCCCATCGCCATCATGCACAGCAAACGGACTATCCGCCTCCACCGTTTTGATCGTTGCCCTCAGTACCGCCCCATCAGCAGTGACAATCATGTCCGACGCCCCATCTCCACCATCACAATCCCATCGACATCCTCTCTCGACAGGTATATTGATCAATTCCCGAGATGATTGAGCGGGGAGCTCAGCACGAGGTCGGTAGAAGCCCGTGTCGCTGAGTTCAGCAGCCCGGTTCTTCTTGTAGGGGTAGGATTGTGTGGAATCAGGAAATGTGAAGGGGGGCAGGGATGGTGTGTGGCTATGGCTGTGTTTGTGCTTGTGCTTGTGGGTGTGAGAGTGATGGGTGTACTTGGGTAAGGGAGAGGTGCTTCCTCTTCTTCTGGTTCTTGCTGTTAGTGGTGGACGGGGAGAGGTTCCTGGGGATAGGTTAGTCTGCTACTACGATGTGGATTTGATGGTTAGAGGATATACCGTTTGGTGACTCGGGTTTGCTGTTATGTATACTGCGCCATCGTAGCAAGGTAAAGGTTTGGTGTCTTCGTTTTCGGGCACGTTGGACGCAGAATACTAGTAAGATGACGAGAAGGACGAGGCCTACGGCACCGGCCACTGTGCCCCCTATTAGGGCTGCGGTGGGGTGCCATGTGTCTGAGTCTTGGGATGTTGCGAGGCTGGCTTGAGTAGTGGACTGGGTAGAGACTGTTGATGTTGTTGAAGTGAGCGTCGTGGTAGGATCTCGAGTTGAGGTTGAGGATGTAGTTGTGGCCATCGTTGTGGAAGAAGCTCCTGAGGCTGTCGATGCACTCCTTACAGATGATGGAGCGCCTGTGCTGGTCTCCGATGAAGATGTAGGAGTAGAAGATAGTGCAGACGAAGTAGATATTGTGGATGTGGCAGGCTCTTGAACCAAGGTCGTCAAGGAGACGGGCTCATCCTTCGTGGTAGGAGCAGCATCAACGAGAGAAGAACTGC